ATACCTGTGAGGGACATGGCAAGGGGAATGATTTGATAGTATACCTGTGTGGGACATGGCAAGTATAATGATTTGATAGAACCTGTGTGGGACATGGCAAGTATAATGATTTGATAGAACCTGTGTGGGACATGGCAAGTATAATGATTTGGTAGAACCTGTGTGGGACATGGCAAGTATAATGATTTGATAGTATACCTGTGAGGGACATGGCAAGGGGAATGATTTGATAGAACCTGTGTGGGACATGGCAAGTATAATGATTTGATAGAACCTGTGTGGGACATGGCAAGTATAATGATTTGATAGAACCTGTGTGGGACATGGCAAGTATAATGATTTGATAGAACCTGTGTGGGACATGGCAAGTATAATGATTTGATAGAACCTGTGTGGGACATGGCAAGTATAATGATTTGATAGAACCTGTGTGGGACATGGCAAGTATAATGATTTGATAGAACCTGTGTGGGACATGGCAAGTATAATGATTTGGTAGAACTTGTCTTTCATATATGACATGAATTACCAAAACTTGTGTGTGTGTGGGGCATGTAGAAGAAACGCCATTGGTGTAGCATACTGTAAAGGGGGTAATTATTGACTGGGTTTTAATTTAGCTTATTTCGCTGACTGGAAAAATGCGCTAAATTAAAACACAGTGAATATGTAAAATTTAGCATAGAACACATTATCTAAATGACGAAACCGTGAATTTAAAACCCACTGAATATGCCTGAAATGGTAAATCAGTGAAATTTAAACCCAGTGAAAATTAATCATTTTACAGTAGTTTATTATACACGGCCATTTTGAATATCACTGGTAATTAACTATACATGTAATTGTACTTCTCCAACAACTCAAGCATTACTTTCTTCCCACTGAACTTTATAATCCTAATTTATTGCATCCATGTATTGTGGAATTAAAAGTGGCATCCCTATTGTGACACTGTTCACCCCTATTCTACACCAATTGGTAATTTACCAATTGTAATTAGTAATTTACTTGTGTGTGACATGTATAACGAATGGGACTGATTTTTTTTTTCTATATCTAGGATATTGTAATTTTTTAATTAAAATAAATATTGCATGATAGCATGTGATGGTCATGTTCAGCTTGGGTTTGTGTGTAGAAGTTTGCATGTCTTGGTGTACTTCTGTTCAGTGAAATTTACTGCTGGCCTGTTACTTGCTTTCAAAAGTTAAGACTATGACTAGTTAAAGTTATCCTACTGGCATGAGGTCTGCTGTAAGCACAGCTTTTTAGCCCTGTTTGAAACCAAGATGATAGCACAGTAAAATTAACCTACAAATTACTCTTTGTGATTTGAATTGATCAATAAATAACTAACCCTAATAAATTTCCTTAAGATTTTAGACGCGCTTTATTTTTCCAACCTTGCACACTATTCCTCACAAGTTGTAAAGATCTTCTTTCAATGTTCAATTCTGCTAAATACACCCCCTTCTGCATTATATTTGTTTAGAAATCTGCTGTCTCATTGCATGCATGCGAGGCTACACTTTGCTTGGCACTATTTTTTTATTTAATATCTCATTGAGATGGATGATTTTCTTTGAGGAGAGGTGTTCATAACACAAACCTGGAAGTTACTAAATACAAGTGTGTTGCATGCCATTTCATATATAGGGGAAATTTATGTCCCCCCAGTGAAAATGCCACAATTGGTAGTAGACATTTGTATAATGTATTGAATATCTCTCCTTCAGTTGTTGAGACATGTATATATCATATGAATTGAAGACGTGTGTATTGTAACACTTTCCTACTTTCCTTTATTTTTCCCAAATCATTGTTATTGTTATCTTTTTTTTCTTCTTGCAGGGACAAATTTCACTAATTTGTGATTCATCCTTCTTTTTTATTTGTCAGTTGCCTTTCAGATATATGACATGGACAAAGATGGGTACATATCAAATGGTGAGCTGTTTCAAGTTTTAAAGATGATGGTGGGTAGTAATTTGAAAGATACTCAACTTCAGCAGATAGTGGACAAAACCATTATAAATGCAGATACAGATGGTGATGGTAGGATATCCTTTGATGAATTTTGTGCAGTAAGTACCAAACTACTGTTCATTCTGAATCTTCAAATTAAACACTTATGTGCAACACTGGAGATCTTGCCTTTTCTCTCAACTATATCTCAAACAGATATGACAAACATATTAATAAATATGCATATTTAAACATGATGAACTCACTTAAAAAAGGTCCTTAGTATCAAATCTGGTTGATTATCAATACAAACTTAGCATAGTTACATACTTAGGTATACACATCTATGAGGAATTCCCTAGATTATGACCTCCTTGCATATCAGTTGGTTGATTATCAATATAAATCTAGCATAGTTACATAATTAGGTATACACATGTATGAGGAATTCCCTAGATTATGACCTCCTTGCATATCTGTTGGTTGATTATCAATACAAACTTAGCATAGTTACATACTTATATATACACATGTATGAGGAATTCCCTATTATGGCCTCCTTGCATATCAGTTGATTGATTATCAATACAAACTTAGCATAGTTACATACTTAGGTATACACATGTATGAGGAATTCCCTAGATTATGACCTCCTTGCATATCAGTTGGTTGATTATCAATACAAACTTAGCATAGTTGCATAATTAGGTGTACACATGTATGAGGAATTCCCTAGATTATGGCCTCCTTGCATATCAGTTGGTTGATTATCAATATAAATTTAGCATAGTTACATAATTAGGTGTACACATGTATGAGGAATTCCCTAGATTATGGCCTCCTTGCATATCAGTTGGTTGATTATCAATATAAATTTAGCATAGTTACATAATTAGGTGTACACATGTATGAGGAATTCCCTAGATTATGGCCTCCTTGCATATCAGTTGGTTTATTAGTTGGTTTATTACCTATGCTAATTAAGGCTATATTTGTAATAATGATATTTGAATGCAGAAAAGATAATGCAGTTTTTGTGAAATTTGAAAAAGTTGACGATGACATTGAAGGGTTAATGTCTTTTTTTCTTTCGCAGGTTGTTGGCAACACAGATATTCACAAAAAAATGGTAGTGGATGTATAACAGAGCTTGAATCAATTTTCCCTTCATTTCATACCATACTTTTACCTTTTTCATCTCTGTGTCCAATAAATGTAATTTTCAATGCTGCAGTGCAGCACTTCTTTTTCACTTCTCCCAATAATCTAAGACCTAGATTAGATATCATTTCTTCTTTCTATTTAATATTGAAATTATTCTTTATTCAAAGTATCACTTTTTTCAGTCCTTTTTATTTTTGAATATTTTTCACGTTTTCATGGTATTTAAAAAATTAATTAATGTTTAAACAAGACAAACTTCTGCGATGTATTATGTGTGACTGTCAACTCTTGGGATTGTTGGTTCTTTTTAACACCTATTATCATTTGTGGTGTGCATCAATTATTTTGATATGCTGCTTTGAAAACCTGTTTACTTTTGGGTTTAATTATTGGCCTTGATTTTCAATAAATACCTCTCACTTTATCACAAACATTAATTTTTAGATAAAAGATGTTAATTGGGACATTACTTTGATTCTTGTAGAGTTCTTGTTTTTCATTGAATTTTGTACATGTTTGAATGGTCATTTGTTTAGGTTGTCTTCTGTGCTGGTCATTTTGGTAACTTTCAGGTGTTGCCCATCTGTGGTCCATTCTACTTTGAATTCTACTAGGTGTCTCCCATCTCAAGTCACTTCTGCTAAAAATTTTACTATATCTCTTCTGCTGGTCAATTCTTTCCTAGAATCTACTAGGTGTCTCCCATCTCAAGTCAATTCTGCTAAAAATTTTACTATATCTCTTCTGCTGGTCAATTCTTTCCTAGAATCTACTAGGTGTCTCCCATCTCAAGTCAATTCTGCTAAAAATTTTACTATATCTCTTCTGCTGGTCAATTCTTTCCTAGAATTCTACTAGGTGTCTCCCATCTCAAGTCACTTCTGCTAAAAATTTTACTATATCTCTTCTGCTGGTCAATTCTTTCCTAGAATTCTACTAGGTGTCTTTCATCTCAAGTCAATTCTGCTTAGAATTGTACTAGGGGGTCTCCCATCTGCTGGTCAATTCTTCTCAGATTCAACTTGGTTTCACTTTTCCACCGGTCAGTTCTGCTTAGTATTGTATTAGGAGTCTCTCATCTGCTGGTCAATTCTACTTAGAATTCTACCCGGCTTCACCCATTCGCTTATAAATATCGTGAATACAACAAATGCATATACATATTTGCCATTACAAATTAAATAACTTTGTCAATATTTCTGATCTTTTCATAATTATTAATTGGCCAATCGTCCCAGCAGGTATATTGACAGCAGATTGATGTAATCTGTATTTACACGGTTTCAGGTGAATTTATAGCCAAGGTCTCTGTCTAAATATTTTCATATATATTATGCCTAGCACTCACAATTTTTAGTTTGTGATCAATGTTGTATTTTGCATTGTATTAAGTTTTGTCAACATTTTAAGTGAAAGTTATTTGTAACTTTTGTATTGTTTTCTTCCTAATAAATTATTTGAATATAACTACTTGTTCATTTCTAAACACTGTTGTTGGCCAAATGTTATCTTAAAATTTAACCAGTTGCTCATCAACGTGGAAATTTCTTTGTGTGAATCAACTTAAGGTTGATCAATAGTTTCATGAAAGTCTTTACATTTTTTATTTATTTTGCAAACAGATTGCTCATTGCTATAAAGGTCATATGTGAAAAAAGAAATAGGACAACATTTTTTAAATAAACTTGATGTTTATTGTACATGAATTAGAGTCAAGACTGTATGGAGGTAAAGTTAAACATAACTATATTTAAAGAAAAAAAGCCATCGATTCATCTGTAAAGATAAGGAAGTTTCAGTATTTATTTTGTATGCTAATGTATAGACAATAAAACGTGTTCTTAGGTGAGACCTCCTGTATGTCCAGTTAGAGTCCATCATCGTTAATAACAGATGAAATTAACATTGTTTTTTTGCATTCACCAAAAAAAGTTTTTTTTTTGGTTTTTTTTTTTTTACAAGTATGCATATTTGTCAGTAAAGAAATTTGAACTTTTCTTTCTTGTATATGTTGCATGAAATACATAACATTAGCATAATATTCATTTTTATTCCAACACTGAACTTTCAAAAATGGATAGGGTAAAGAAAATGGTGTATTACTTGCACACACAACTGTGCAAAGAACGAAAATGAAACTATATTGATCAACCTTAAGTCAGTTTGAATATTATTGGTGTTTTAGGTAAAAATGCAGTCCCCGTAATATGGATTAGGGACATGATTATGATTACTTTAGAAGCAATAGTTTCCTGGGGGAAGTGATAAATATATTTTCTGACATAAAAATCAAACATTATTGCTATGAATTATGTGAATGACAAAATGTTGGCAAAGCTGTAAGTTATTTACATATGGTATATAAAATTCCCACCAATAACTTAGGGAGTTAATCCCACAACTTGGAACAGATAATTATTATAGAACATGTATGGCTCACATATATCCAAACTCATTGTGTGTGCATTAATAGGTGGTTTTAAATCTTGTCCAGCACGTTCTGTAATGTACATAATTTTTTGTTCCAAATTGTGTTTAGTTGACTGTACTTTTGACTGTTGACTGATATTTGTACTAAACTTCACCAGATTTCTTTCATTTCAAGTATTTCCTTTGTTCAATTTGTACTGAATTTAAGAAAATGATACCTCAGTCTCACTGTCATAAATGAAGACCACAATTTACATCTTGATATTGTCAAGACTGGGTTATGTAAATAAAATAACTTATCAAATTTCATGGATCTTAAAACCCAAAAAAAACTCAAATATTATATAGAAATGAGCATAGATCCTAGAGCTTTGTGGCTCAGTTTTATTTTATGAAAAAGGAAATTGAAAAGTAGTGATGTAATTGCAAGGAATTGAAGATTTAATCTTCCTCAGTTATACTACTTTGTGATGAACTATTAAAATTGCTGGTCGACACTCCCATCTCTCACAGATTCCTGAATGCATGCTTGTTACTGCAGAATGGATAGTTTTACTCTACTCCATATTTGTTTATACCAAGACATAATTTTTGCTATACACGCACATGTTCAAAACTTGCTTTACTTTGTTCTTGTAGCAGTTTCACTGTTGTGACGATGTTAATAATTATTAAATGGTCAACACATTTTTTAAAATTGTAACTGTCTTGAGTTTTTTCACTTATTTTACTTGATACCTATTCCAATCATTTTCACCAAATCACTTTTGTTGATTAGGTTTTGAGATGCTGGAATATTTCTGAAAGTACTGCACTTTCTAGAATTAGTTGACATGCATTCATCACGGAACAAGTAGAATACAAAATGAAGCATTCATCCAAGATGGCATTCGCTTGATTAATGAAAATTGGTGCAAAGATGTGCTGGGGGATAATGTGCAGACCTGGGGGCCAATTAATTTTCTAATTCGCATTCTTTGCCTGTTCAAGAACAAATATATATATCGTCATGCATAGGTCCATGCTTAACTCCCTATCCACATGAAAATGTATGTATGCCAACATTCACAAAAATTCACACACAAAATGTATGACATCACAATTTAATTATTCATTCAACACAACCCTTGAGGTAGATAAATTTATTTGCATTTTAATGAATGAGAGGTGCAAACTCTTGACGTGGTTGACTTATTATTGGCTCTATGGAGCATTGCAGAAAGGGCAATCCCAGTAACATAAATCTAGTGTACATGTGTATTGGACCACTATTCTAGAACCATTCCCAGTTTTATACATGGTAAAGGAGGTCAACTCATCTAGTATTTTGCCTGGAATATGAGTACCAGGTTGCCAAAAGCGAAGAAATGGCACAGTCTGAAAACGTGGACTTGTGGATGGACCTCTGTGTGGCATGCATTGAGACATGTGTTGTACGTACATTAGACATTTTTTGTTTTAATGAATGTGGTTCTAGAGCCGTATCTCTGACATGCTTTGATTATGTTTGAATATTAATTATGCTTATACAGATTTATTTAAAATGGCTGATCGGTGGCCATTTTGTTTTAATTGATGCTGTTCCAGAGCAATATGGACAAGTACCTGTTGGCAATCAGATACAAGATGATGAGATGTCAATCATTTTAATGTTAATAAATCCTCATAATCAAGCGTCAGCTATCTCTGACATGTTTATGTTCCAACTATACTACTATAAACAAAATTATATATCTTAAATCTAATAACTAACTGGGACTGTGTCATGCATGGTTTACTACATCATCTACCAGAAAGTCTGTGGAAATAATAAATTTCATTTATTACTTGTTAGGCGTAATTACAGATTACAGCTCCGAACGAAAACAATTTGGGAATATACCCGGGTCCACAAAGAACACCCAAGGGTAGCATTCCTTATAGAAAAAAAGGCCTCTCCTGAGGGGTTACCCTCAGGGTGCTCACGCGTGTGAGGCCTGATCTGTTCAGAATCTAGTGTTGGTGATTTACTCCATTACGGTGAAGGCTTTCCATTATTAGGGGGCCCATTTTTTACCTGTTTTAGTTGAATCGCCGGCTCAGTTTATATTCATCCGGATTCAGAATTCTAGCGCGGTGAATTTTTCTTCTTTTTTTCACGATCTCATTTTGTAATTTTTTCCTGACTGCATTATGCCTAAGTCGTAAAAAAAGACATAGAATGTCCAGACACAACAATCGGGGCCTAAGACATGCTCATCCTGCCCTCTTGGGACCCGCACATGTGTTGCCATTCATGTCTTGGTTGTGTCAGGGTATTGCCTAGGGGGTCTCTGTGATCAATGGGACCCTAAAACGTAGTTGCCTTGCGAGGCGAGGTGGAAAGCTGAAGGCAAGCGATTAAAAGCTGGTAAAAATCGCGATAAAAAGGGGAAATCCCTAGCCACAGCTAGCGATGTAATGTCTGATTCAATGAGTGAAAAAAATCTCTCCCTCCACTTGGTAATCGCGACGAGGCTCACCTCAGATCGAACACCGAAATTGTTGGAGATATGTCATGATCTGACTCCCTGCTAGAGGTTGCGTGGTCGATGATTGAAACAAGACCTTCAAAACTGTTTATCTCTGAGATGCGGAAACACCGACGGCAACTCTAAATTCCCCCAACGTGGAGTTAATTTCCCAATTTGATGTTACCGCAGCGGACAAACACCGTTCAACTGCTTTTGCTGGGGTATCAGAGTTTCCAGTCACCAAGGTTTCTGTTGTTGGTAAACAGCGTATTCCCACTGGGGCGCTGACAACCAGCGAGGATCAATTGAAGATAATATTTGGTAATCGTAGTCCTAAATAAGCACTTGCTTCTATGCTATCGATAAAGAGCCATTGCTCGAAACGTCTAGCTATTTTTAATAGTTATTTAGGACTACGATTACCAAATATTATCTTCAATATATCATACTTATCAGTCCGAGCAGCGTTTATTTATTTATAAACTACTAGCGAGGATCAAAGCGCGTATGGTCTCCTTTGAAGGGGCAGAAGAAGACTAGTAGCAGGAAGCGTCAGAAAAAACCCAAGAAATGTGGCTTTGGTGGTGGGCGTTCTGACATTTCTAGGGACCAGGGGGCCGCGAAGTCTCTTTGAAGCTTTCGCCGGCTGCCTGGACATGGATGGTGGTACGACTTTAGGTCTCCCTCCCGGGAGTCCTCGGGCTCAGTCTCCCAGTCTTCATCCTTCCATGCTGGAGGCTTGAGTTTGGGAAGCACAAGCTCCGAACCCCCGTCCGCTCCTTCCCGTGGGGTCGCGCCTTATGCAGCACATACCAGCTTGGTGCAGGAGAATTTCCGATATTGGACGCTGGCAGTAGTGTTGCGTGGGTTTCGGATTCTACTTCGGTCTCCTCCTTCTCTGACTCCTTCCCCTCCCTCAGGTCCTTTGCCGAGGGAGGAGGTCAAGGCAGAGTCGATCTGACAGTAAGTAGCCAGCCTTCTGGAGAAAAGGGTGATACGCCTATTGAGAACCCCCATTTATTCCAGGGTTCTATTCCCACATCTTCCTCGTTCCCAAGAGTTGGGGGGGTGTCGTCCAGTCTTAGACCTCAGTCAGCTGAACAGGTTTGTGGAACAGAAACACTAGCTTTGGTACTTCTGTCAGTGCACTCGGTTGGTTGTATCACTGGACTTGAACGATGCTTACTCCCACATTCCCATTCATCACTCATGCAGCCGGTATCTCAGATTCCCATTACAGGGCAACGTTTACGAGTTAACTGCTCTCCCTTTCGGTCTGGGCATTTGAAGACACACGAAGTGCGCGGGGTAGCCAACTCATTGGCTTTGATGACTGGAGATCTCAGAATGTCTTCATTAACTAATACCTGAGAGACCTCCAAGCGCTGGACAAGGGTCTCTACAGGTTGGGTCCAGTGGTGACGGGTCAGACAGTGTTTGTTGACTCATCCCGCACCACCAAGGGGCCCTATGCGTGAAAGTGTTAGCGTGATAGTGTCTTCAGTCGAAACCAGCCTCTTTTGCTTGACGCAGGTTTCGACCTGCACTATCGAACCCCAGCAATACACTGTTTTGGTGCATTAGAATTCAAAATGCTTCAGGATCATGTCACATGAGGACCATGTCTTAAGCCTGGCTATTGACATCATAAAATGATATCCTAATAAGTTCAATTTAAAAGATTCAGTAAGCAGTTCCAATGCCCTCCATGCACACGTGATTGGAGGTAAATTCCATGTGACATTGAAACATTTATTTGTATCAGAATCTGCAATAGCTCACAGAGGCTCTATCTGTTCTTTTTGATGCAGTTGGCTTGACTCTGGCCAACTTTCCTCTGCACCTATCTTTTCAAATTCACAAGTATTAGCCAATGTGCAAGGTCTGATTTAAAATATCAGTTTACAAGTTATGTAAAGTTATGTAGATAAAACATTGCTGTTTACTGTAATAGAAATATTACAATCCAAACATGCCATACACCGACCACAGTCTGTACTATCTGTAAATTACATCATGTTGACTGTCTTAAAATGATTCAACTACACTGGTATGGGCAGTACTGAGTTGATATTACTCACTCTGAATGTATCAGTCCGCCGTTTTAAAACATATGTTATTTTCGATAAAGATGCAATATAGGCAAGAAAATCCCTGATGAAATCTATATGCAACTCGCACCTTGTTGCTGAGTCTGTGTACAGTAAAACGCCAAATGGGACATAACTTGGACCTCGACAACGAGTCTGGTACGAATCTAAACCATTTTCATAATCGTTGTTGTTCCAGTAAAAGGTAAGGGGAGTTCAATTGTCATTTATTAGTTCTCGCTCGGACAACGGGGACCGTTTTCACTTTTTTGCGTGTGTATGTGTGCTTCCACCTGTATCTCCGAAATGTCTGCTCCGATCACATTACACTTCACAATCTCGGGAGACATTCCATGTCCGAACATTTTCAAACTTCAGATATACATCATGATAACATGATTATGTATTAGTACCTAGTTTGTATGTGCGTGTTGTTGTCAACCATTCTAGGCTGACATGATTTCAACTGACGCCCGTACAAATACAGTATATGTTATAGAACTTTGCATTATACAATTATGTACATTGCAATTTATAAAGCCATAACATTTAAATGTTGTTAGCATCAAAGCATTTGATGAGCACTACAATCCAAATAATGAAAACGTTGGACATTTTGAATGTTTTCTCGAAAACGTGAACCAAATGAACTATTAGACAAATATGTCACTGGTTTGAAGATCTATGCTGCAACTGTAATTTCACTACATTACAGGAAAATCTCATTAGTGACAGCCTATTTTGTGGTATCAACGACTCGTGTCTTGGGGAAAGGAGCAAGAAAGAAAGAGAGAGAGCTGTTTAGAGAAGCAGATCTATACCTAGAGAAACGCCTTTAAATATGTCGGGCGTCTAAATTGCCAGAAGAAAAACCTAAGTGATAGAATGACCAGTATGTGTCACAAAATTATAAATAACATACTCAATCTGGGTATAAAGATTACAAGAACACAAAACAAATATTTGACAAGTACATTACACAACTTGACTACTCAAATAAGCGAGAGAAAAATGAACCACATGGTATACTCGATGTGATGTCAGGTGTTTCGATAATAGTGAGCACAGCCTGCTCCACATATTAGAAATAAATGGTTTGGGTTTGAAACCT